TAATCATATCTTTGAAATTACAAAGTCCTTTAAAATAAATCCTGACGTAGAGAGAAAAATTGCAATTTAAATAAAAAAGTAGGTTTCAAACGCATTTATTAATTATTTATTTTATGATAGGAGAGCTTCTCAAACAATTTAGAAGCAAAAATTTTAAAATTTAAAAAAAAGTCATCCGCCTTATTGGATCCGCCATTTTGAATTTTGAAAAACTAACATCGGATTCGTAATCAGCGACCCCGAAAACCCCCGAGTAACGAGTTTAAAGCGAATTTGATTAATTTCAGAATAGTTTGTCAGATTTGATTTTTTTGTATTTTTTTTTTGTGAAAGTACCTAACTTTGAATTGAAATTGCGAAAAAAAAACTAATGCAGCTAGAAAGCTGCGGTTTATTGCATTGGAAAGAGCGGACCATTTACTATAATAGTCGATGAAAAAGCGAAAACCGATTTTTTCTGACCGTAGGTCCCTTTTAACTTTACGTGTCACATATATGTAATTGTCTCTTTTCAATTAAATATTATTATGCGTTAAATAACGCTAAAATGCAAATGTGTTGGTTTTTATTTATAATTTTGTAAGTGTATTGGAGAATGCTTTCGGTCGTTTCTGCTGGGGTATGAGCGAACTTGGCATGTATTGCATGGCTTTAGGCGCAATTTGCGCTGCTCACCTCAAAATGCAATACGAATGCATACACTAACATACACACGTATGTACATACTGACAGGTGCTAGTGTACACGAATGTGCACTGAAATATTTATTGCAATAGTTATTGCAGGCATGTGTGAAAACTTGTGTTTTATAAATTAGTTGTTAGCAGCATGTCTGGGAAATTGACGGCAACTGATAATTAGTCTAGGCAGAGGTATCGTATTTCTTTTAGTTTTGTTTTTCATTTATAACTACAGTGCTATAATTTGCAGGTGGATGTCAGCTAATTTTTGATGGATTACCTACTAAAGATATATTGCCATCAGAGGCACTACACATTTTTATATGTATGTGTATAAGAATTTTTGCTTACTGCATATTCGAATATATACATACGTGTATTTTCTTTTTGGAACTAAAGTAGTTAGTTTATAACTAGAACTATATATAACCAAAGTGTGTGCCTATTTTAAATTTTCCTTATATTTAGTTATGATAGAACATATTTTCCGCCCTATTTTTAGCATAAAACCCTGAGCTCGGGCTATAAGTTATAACTTGTCATATTTTATTTTTCTACTCACCAGAATGGCTTGCTTCCCGTATGAGATCGTGTATGATTTCGTCTCGCACATTTATGCCAAGATTTTTTAACATAAATTGCAGCTCATTTGCTGTTACGCGACCATCACGATTTCTGTCCAAGAGATCGAATGCTGTTCGCAGATCTGAAAGGAAAAGAGGAAATTATTGTAATTAATTAAGCGCAAATAAGTTAAATTTTTGTTTTAATAAATAAATTAAAAGGTGTATAGTATCATTAGTATCCGTGTACATATAATAATTCTACAGAAAACATAAAACCTTTAAAAAGAAATACACACATTTAAATTTCGAGATAACCTCACTTTCAAAGGCTTTCGAATTATTGATAGTGATATAGTGTTTACACACCCTAATAGCACCAGGGATATTTTTTTTGTGATGCCCTACAATCGATTTGGTGATTACTTGGGTGATTCAATTATCTCTCAAGGAACAAAAATCGGATTCAAAAGATTTTTATATTACTTCTTCTTCTTCTTCTTCTTGATTGACGCTGTAACCGCTTAAGCGATTTTGACCGAGGCCAATAAAATAACTTCAGTTGTTATATTCCATGATAACTGAAGCCAACTGCAAATGCCAAGGGAAGCGGGTACCACGTCGAAAACTTTCAGGGCTGGAGCGTTTTTTCAGTCACTGTATTTTGATTCGTATCGTTCCATTGTTCCAGCTAGTCTTCGACACAAATGCTTTAAGGCCATTGTTTTCCATAGAATAGTTCTTTTGAATAATCTAAGGGTCGCCTCATAGTCCAGACTTTTGCACCATACGGGCGGTACAGCATTATGAGTGACTTATAGAATGTGATTTTCGCTCCTGACTGCTTTTGTGATGACAGCCGATACTTCGATTTGTTTTCGTTCACCATCAGACCCGCGAGTTTCGCTTCTCTATCTAACTTCGAGAAGACCGGTGATACCGTGCGGTTAAGCCCTGAAGCTCTTATTAAGTAAACTCCCCCACATCAGATTAAAGAAATCACACGACAGGGAGTGCAACTGTCTGAAGCCTGGAATTCTTCCAAACTGTTTGGAGGGGTCCTTCCCAATTCTGACGCAGCTGGGGGTATTACTAAAGTCAAGTATTAGTTTCGCAGGAACTCTAAATTCTAACACTAAATGCTTTAGCCGAAGCTCAGAAGGCTGATTCGAGGGTATTTGTTTCCCTTTTTGTGGATTGCTCAGAGCGAGCTTAGATTCCAATCAGCTGCATGCTTACATAATAGTATATCATGGCAACCAATTTCTGGCCTTGAATAGCTCAGCTGGTAAATTATCGGCTCCAGAAGGTTTATTATTTTAGGGCCGTGCCATTGCAATTCGTATCTCGTCATGATCAGAAAACGGAAGATCATTCCGCCATCAAAAAATGTCTGCGCGTTTTTACTCTTCGCATTTGCGTATTTCGGTCTTTTTCTTCTTACTTCACTTGCGTAATATTGCGATATGATTATTTCGTCAATTTTAGTCGCCAAGCAATGTGAAAATTACTTGAAAACACCAGCCAGTAGCTTGTGTCGATCTGGCACATATATAGCAGACAGTATGCCTTTGTTGACTGACCCATCCGATGCAGGGCGCGAACCCTTACAGCTTCGCTACTCTTAATCTCCATCACACTGAGAATTGCGATTTAGTTAGTAGTTTTAGACGTTTGCCGACAAAATCTGACAGTCTTCCTTTCATTCTGTTATATGGAGCTTGGCATATCACTCATTTACCGATATGGGTGTGAAAAATCCTCTAGCTTTAATTACAGTTTGGCCACCTAAATAGATTACTCGATTCGCTTTTAAGTCGAAAACTGTCTCTCCAGAATACCTATTCAATATTTAATTTTTTGCTACATTTCATTAGGCATCCGTGGCTACAACTCGGTGGGATAGGAAGGCGAATATGTATCATATCATCAACAGTGAATCTTCATTACCTCTATTATTATTTACAGTCATCTACATTTACAAGTCAAGTAATGTTTTCATAGAAAAAGTCTTTGGCAACGAAGCGAAAAGTTAGCTTACAAATAGAAACTTTCCACATAAAAATGGGATACACTTTTATTAGAGCTATATGTATGTCAACTTTGCTTACTATTTTGCTTTAACACATTTAATATTAAAAACCGACGGTGCGTATGAGTAACGTAAAAAAAGGCAGTATGTAGTTATACATATATGTAGATACATTCATTTAGGAGTGTATGTATGTATGCGCGTATAACATTCTCCAAAATTTGTTATATTATATCCCACAATACACGCCAGCCACATAAATATAACATATATTTTTATTTGTTCAGCTGGACGTGTGAAATGCAGAGAATTTCCGAATTTTTCTTACTTTGCTCTTTTGATTGCTATGAGGTTTTGCGTTGTAAAACCTTATACGAGTACTGGTCCTTGTTTTATATGAAATGTTCTTTATGGTTCTTTATTTCGCCGTGTCAACATTTCTTTTAGTGATTTGCCAGCAGTATGCAGTAAAGTTCAGACATCGCAATGAAATGGCCGCTAGGCAAATTGGTGTGGATTAGGGATGTTTCGTTTGTCGAATTCGAATGCGAATGCGATTGTGCGAATGTTAGGAATAACATTAAAAAAGCTATAGTCAACTTAAATAAGTCATCGTTTTTATTACTTAAAAATTTTGTAAATTATTAGAACATTGAACCAGTGCTCAACCTACACAGTGTTGTAATCTAGTATACAAAGTTCAAAAGGGGCATATTATATTTAAAAAATAATAATAATTTTGCTGCCTTTTCTCCCATGAGGCGATTACTTAGAGGCGCATACATAAGGCCGGCTGCACTGAACAATTGCTCACTTGGAACGCTGGCGAATGCAGTGCTCAAACATTTTCGGGCCAGATCTGTCAATTTTCGAGCCTTCGCTTTCGCTACAGGAATCTAAAATTATTTCTCGGTTGCTTTTAAGACTTTTAGCAGTACTTGTTGAAGGCCCTGAAGCTAGAAGCCGGTTATTGTCCGCACCTTGGTTAGACAGACTTAGAGCCATTTCAACAATAATAGAGGGGACTCTCTGCCCATGCGAATGTTGAATGCGAATGTGTTATATGATGCGAATTATTCGCATAACGAATGCGAATGTAAATATACGCAACATCCCTGGTGTGAACAGCACACAGGCCTTGTGTCTTGGTTATTTTGTAGATTCACGCTAATGATTTCGGCAATGTTGCTTTAGGCAAGTTAATTGCATGCAAATATTGGCGATTTTACATACTTATTTATGCTAAACTTCGTTTTTATCGTAACAGACGCGTCGCCGACATTTGAAATTCTTGTCGGTCATTTGTTTCCTTTAAGTAGGTAAGCAGGCTTAAGCAACAGGAATATTTAGGGAAACTTTCGGTGGAGGTTTTTTGTTCATATTTTTTTTTACCGTTTTGAAATTGTATTATTTTATTGCTGTAAAATGAGCTTTGCATTTGCAATTTTTTATTGAATATTGAATGAGATTTTTTTCATGTGGCTCAGAAGTCATTGTCCTGTAGACTGATAAAATAGAAGATGCTGGAATTGTACCAATCAAAGTTCAAGCTCACCGTCCACACTCACTTAACCTATACGGGTGGTTAGAGCAAATCTGTTAACCACATTTAAACAACAGCTAAGTAAAGCTGTAGTGAGAAGTCCTTAAGCAGTTAGAAGTGGTGAGCTTTTGCTTGCGATTCAGTGCAAAGTTCAACGCATAGACTCAATAAGTAAATATGTATATGGCACTGTAATGGAAGAAAACGACCTTACTTATTCGTCTTTGCGTTACGCTTAATAGCTCAAAATAATAGCTTCGTGCAGACTAAATAAGTAGTGTGGATTACATACATACTATTTAAGTACAGGTTCATATACATACATATCTATGTTTGTCATAAAAAGTGTGTGTTGAATTTATTGGCAAAAGTCGCGCTAAGGCAAAGAAGTTTTTTTGCTGTCGTAAAATGTGTTTGCAGTCTTAAATATTTAATAAGCGACAATCGTAAAACAAGCGCAATTAAATTATTATTACAGTTATTTATCATAACGCACGTGTACATTATAACAAAATACATACATAAAAATTAAGCAATTGAAGGTAACTTGATTTTAGTGCAGAAATTGTGTATCTATGTACATAAATGTGTGAGTGGGTTTTTCTGCAACTTATCGGGATTATAACTAGGCTTAATCACAATCGAGGCAGTTAGTGATTAGGATTTCGCCATAAATCAACGGTTACTAAATTTACATATCAAATTTGTAAGAAAATTTAATAAAAAAAATAAATGTTAACCTAGGGCAGAACTTTCAGCAGAAGGTGCACGGAAGGATAATGCTAGATTTCCACTAGGCATTAAATGGCAAAAATGACAAATGACAAAGTCGGGCATTAAAAAATAATCGTGTCATTACATTAAAAAAATAGTCATTAAGTTCATTTCCACATGACATTTTTTTTTAAATGGCATAAATCTTTTGTAATTTCAATGCCTAGTGGAAATTCGGCATAACTTCGGCAAAATTATATTTATTAATACTAGTACCGAACTGTGACATTTGCTACAAAAAAAAGAGCAAATAACACAATTGGACGAATTTTGATTTTTTTTTTGCCACCTAAGTAAAGACATCGTTTCTTGTGAATATTTTGGTGCCAAATCCAAATCTGGAAAAACGGTTTTTGGCGATATTTGCGGTTATATTATGAGAACAACAAACTTTTTTGCTTATTTCTACTCCAGGCAGCATTTAGTCATACTTTTCCCCTTTAAAATTCATTTTAATTTGTTGCGTTTCGATTTTTCTTTCTCGAGATATACCAGTTTTAATGTGTCATCAAATAAAAATCAAAATTATTTTTCAATTACATTGCTTCCGTGAAACTGGCTTTTAGAGTTTTTGGCTTTACTAAATACTGGATACAAAAGTACTTAGCATTTATGCTGCTAAAAAAGTAAATGCCGTAAAGTCCTGAGATTCAAAAAAAAATATAATACGAGGCATCCTACAACATACAGAACTGTCTGGAAAAAACTCCCAAAGTTCCTCAAACAACTAGTGGAAACAAATGCTCCATTAGATGCAGTATAAAAAAGTAGTGCCGCGAATTCGCGAAAATTTT